GTTCTTATTTAAGCTTGAGAGTCATCTCTCCTTCAGTCTTGCAGACAACCTTTCTAACACTGATTGTCTTCACTGACGATTCATTCATGACAGCTTTCTGTTGATTCAAGACATGAAGACACACAACTGCCATTCACCAAAGCAGTCATTAAACAAAAAAAATTTGAGGATTTTCATTCCCAGAGCCTTGTTTACCCAAAACAAAAAATTTAAAAAAGGATGTAATCTTCTCATTGACCTCCCAAGGACAACAGGTAGATCATTTAAAAAAATTAAAAAGGGCACCTTATTGCCAGCTGAACAAAGGATGTGGCCACCAGAGTGAGGTTGTTATTGTTAAGGATGTCCATTTTCTTACTTTTTTGTCCAAGACCTTTAAAATACAGAGCAATCAGCAGTGAATAGTAAGCTGTCTTTTAAAGTAAAGTCAGTGTAAATGAAAGAAGTCAGATAACATGTTTTTCTTTTTCAAAATTTCAAAATTTATTTATGTTTGATGATTTGCTTTACGAGCAAATCAGTTCCTAATTACGAAACATTTTAAACAGTATTACATAATTCATCATGATAATTGACATAACTGATTGCCAGTCTCATAGAGTCCTCGGCATTTCTGTACTTCCAGCACATTTTCTTTGCCTCTGTGCTCAGATAATAGAAACCAAAACAAGTGAGTGATGAAATTCTTCTTATTTGAAAGCACAGTACAATTCCAACAGTTTTCTGCTCCTGTAAAAGCAGTCGTTAGGCTTCTCTCTCTGTGTCTCAGCCAGAGATAGCTTTAATTATAAGAGAAGATATGTCACAGAGCAGAGGTATGTAAATACCGCCACCCAGTGGAGAACAAAATGGACTTGTGGAGCAACTAGCAGGGGGCTGATGGTTACAGTATATATTTTTTATACTCATGACTAATAACGCAAAACCCTATTCAGTTGGTTTGATCATCCTTTTTAATTCACACAGACCCAGGTGCCACTGTGCCCCTTATGACAGACTTCACAAGTTCATCATGCTCAAAACAAGAACTTGACAACCATATTAAGGGATCATAGATGAGGCGAATGAGAATGTAGGTATTTGTGATTGTTTTTCCTGTAGAAGCGTGAATATTTCATCCAGATTTCATCACAATCCATTCAGTATTTGTTAAAATAATTCAATCGTTAGCAACCTAACAGCCTGAGGACACTCACAATGTGTGTAAAATGCAAAAACAAATAGAGTAGCTACACATCATATGTAGCCACAGTGTCATGCACATACAAGTGCCTACCCACTTAAAACACACTAGAGGCACAGTTGCAGTTTTGATGCATTTGTCAAACATAAGATCAAAACTTCTCCCCTGAAAATAACTGTGCACACAGATATCTCTGACTTGGATAAATTCAGCCATAACATCAGAGGGGTATACTACGAAACAAGTTTGACATAGCCAGGCTTTCTTTGTCTAAGTAGGGTCGACAAAAACTAAAGCCTGAGTCAGAGATCATGGGAATCACAAAGGTGGCTTTCAACTTTCTTTGTCATCTTAGGTTTTCTGCTTCAAACTCTGTGGACGTTCACTTAAAAAAGGGGCATTTAACGTGTCACATGACTCTTCTTCAGCACAAAATGAAACGATGTGCAGCTGCTTCAGTCAACATGTTTTAATGGAGAACAATGAGGAACATACAAATCTATGACAGTAAAAAGTGCTGCTAGTGCAAATGGTGCAACACAGGAATGGTAGAAAACTGTTAAACGTGCTAGTATATAATATTTTACTGATGCAGCCGCTTATTTCCAACTGACAGCTGCACATTTAAACTTTAAACCTATTATATTTAAACATTATCTTGTATTGAAGTGCATTTAGGTCTGACACTGTCCCAAAAAGCAGGATGTCATTTTATTTTTGGCCAAATAAAAGTGAAATTAATTGATTGAAAATTCTCTGTAATAAATACCAGTAGAATAATCCATTTTCTGATCTGCAGTAGCAGCAGAGTAAGCGGACTTGACAGCAAATCAGAGCCAAACATAAAAACTTATTTATGTGATTTCTGCTTCGCCAACTAAATACACGTCTGGTTCCATGGCAACGCAATATATACAGTGTGCGATACTGTAACTACACGGATTCATTCAGTGATTTTAGTAACACACAACTCATCATGTTTGCAGATAAAACACACTCCCTCAGCTGAGAATCTGCATCGTTCAGAAATAATAGTCAGGAAACGATCTGGTTAAAGGGAGACGCTCTTTCTGAGCATAACCTGCTCCCGACCAGGTTAGCGCCACAGCATCAGTTACCATGGAGATCTAGCAGGTAAAAAGAGAGCCACCTTTGTGACAGTGAAAACTCTGGCTTTAAGCTTGACATACTTCGATAACCCACTAATCTCACTTCGTAGTACAGCCCTCTGGAATCATCAGAGAACATGGTTTGAATTTAGGTTTGTACCAAACATCAACAGGCCGTCTTTCTTTATACATCCAGCATACTGTCAGGCCCGCCACCTCTGGCTCCACCTAGTGGCGGCTCTCTCCTTTCCTTCCCTCTCTCTCTGCAGGTGGGTGTGTGCAGGCTGGTGTGAGTGGTGCAGCAGGTGCAGTGATCATCTGATTACCTGAGTAAGAGCATGGCTTACAATCATCTACTCACCTCTGTGTGCCATCTTAGCCGATTCAGTGCATGGCACCAGACCGTTAGTTGATCTTTGGTGCCGTTCGTTTTGCTAGTTCTGCTCTGTTCCTTGCTCTGCATTTGTCTTACCTGAATTCTCATCTGCTCCAGCTGGACCCGCTTCGCCGCCTCTGGAGTCTGGTCAGTCCTCCATACTCACCTTGCTGTCTGTCTGGTTCCATCTGCTAAAGTCCCTAGTTTAACTTCTTCTGGTCACTGCATCTGCTGGAACGCCACTCTGCCATCTCCACCAGCCATGCCACCTGCCTCCCCTTCCCCTTTCTGAACTCCTTTGTCAGTAAGCCCTAGTCTCTCGCTGCTTCCCTGTTTAATCTGCCTGAGTTAGTTTGTTATCATAATTCTCCATTCCTTGGACTTGGTTTTACTAAGGTTGGGTTGGTGAGTTTTGGTTTCCTTTTGTTTGTGCATTTTTGTTCATAATTAGTCCTTCTATCCAGTTGGTCAGTATAGTTCACTTTCACTTGTTCCCCTTTGACCTGCCAGTATTCCTGTTATTTGTAGTCTTTTGTAGTCGACTATTCTCTTTAGCCTAGCTTCTGTTTCCAGTGTAAATTTTTATATACTTTTAAATATTGTAAATAAATATATTTTTATAATCTGCCTGTTTCCACTGAGTCTGACACATGCTAAGCTAGGTAGGCCATGGTTAATTAGCATGTAATGTTTTAACATGCATACAATTTGTATGGTGACACACTATTATCACCATGCTGCTAAGCTTAATAAACTTCAGAAATACCACACCATGTATCATGGAGTTGCAACAGTTGTGTTCCTCCATGACACATGCTGTAGCTGAATCTGTGTGCTTTTGAGCCATACATGCCAATTTTTGGGCCATTTTCTTTTCAATGAAGCAGTTAACTGAGGATAAATTATGTAAATTGAGACAATTTTAGAGGCTCCAGGTTGTTTCTTTGCATTTCAGATTTTGTTGATCCTTTCTATGTTAGGGTTCCTGCAGCTCTTCAAGTGTTTAGTACACTCCACTGTTGTAAACTTCACCTTCCTGTGCAATGCCTGGAGACACAATGACACATTAGTCGCTCGTCTTCTGCTTCATTCTGAGATAGCAACCAGTTCTATAAGCATTATCACATACACACAGAAATCATGCTGGGAAAGGATTGCAATGGTATAAGATGAATTCACTCCATTTATTACTCAAAGGCTTCTTTGTCAGTCTCTGGGAAACATTCTAGCATTCATTTAGTTCAGTTCATAACTAGTGCTTGCTGCTTTTCGACATCAGAATCAGAAATACTGCAAACATGACAAGGTGCATTTAACTGTAAAATATATATATATAAAGAGATGAATACATTTTCTCAATGGAAGTCTTTATGTTGTTTAGAGGAGAGTGTATTTTAAAGTAAACTCACCTGTTTGTCTGCCAGCCCTTTTGGGTATCGGGAAATGTCATCTAGCCGACGTTCCGTCCTCTCCCAGTCATCCAACCACACTTGGCGGCGATACTCCGAGGGGCGAGATCTGACTCGCTGGTAGATGGCTTGATTCTGATGGCTGATCAATAGAAGTTCTTGCTTCCTTTTGTTAGCATTCAGGCTGAAAAAGGCAACACATTGGGTGAAAAGAGAATGAATAAAACTTAGAGGGTCTTGCTGTGTCACACTCTTCTCTCCCTCTGCTTTTGTTTCCACTCGGTACTGTTAACTGTTAAATAAAGGTAAAAATGACCTATTACTAAAACTGGACCATCTGGATATCCCATGTCTCCTTGGTGGCTGAAGCAACACACACCAACACAGTTCCCTGAATGGTTTAAATGAAAGGATTTCTTTTAGGTGTGAACACATGCTTAAGCTCAACAGGTTGATACAAATACCAATAAGCAACAATGCATGTCTACTGCGTGTGCGAATAGTAAATCATTTGTGAACAGTTGCTTTGGAGGTCTTCTTTCCCTAAATGGCCAAAAACATTGAATAATATAGTTTTATTATTACACAAATATTTAAGTACGATAACCAATAGTCATGGCAAAAAAAACAAAGGGTGTTTGGCTGTAAAATGTGAGAAACGATATCAAATATAATGATTGCTGTTTTTAGTATTTTAGTATTTAATCCTGATGGTCTAAATCCTGCTTTTAACAAATAAAATTCTTAATGACCAGCTCCATTTTAACTTAAACACTTTATTGTACCATATTATCCTAACGGAGCCCTTCGCTCTCAGACTGCAGGTCTACTTTTGGTTCCCAGAGTTTCCAGAAGTAGAACGGGAGGCAGAGCCTTCAGTTATCAGCTCCTCTGTNGTTTTAGGATTCGAGAATGTTTTAGGATTCTAGAATGTTGCAAGATTCTAGAATGCTGTAAGATTCTAGAATGTTTATGATTCAAGAATGTTTTAGGATTCTAGAATGTCGTAAGATTCTGGAATATTTATGATTCTAGAATGCCGTAAGATTCTCGAATGTTTTAGGATTCTAGAATACTATAGGACTGAGACTCATTATCTCCTGAAGGGGTCGCTGCATCTATGCGTGCCGCCATTACCATGGCAACCAACAAAATGAAGACAGATTTACAGTGGGACCTTTTCGCTACCTACAAAAGTCTAGGTTTCAGAATGTCTTAAGATACAATGCTTACCATGGGACTTTTTAGCGACCTATAAAAGTCTATGTTTTAGAATGTCCTAAGATACAATGGTGTAAGATTATAGAATGATTTAGGATTCTAGAATGCTGTAAGATTCTAGAATGTTTATGATTCTACAATGTTTTAGGATTCTCAAATGTTTTAGGATTCTAGAATGTCGCAAGATTCTAGAATATTTATGATTCTAGAATGCTCTAAGATTATCAAATTTTTTAGGATTCTAGAATGTTCTAGGATTCCAGAATACTTTAGAACTCACTTTCACTGTCATTGTCTCCTGAAGGGGCCGCTGCATCCATGCGCACCGCCATCACCATGGCAACCCATGAAATGAAGACAGATGAACCGTGGCACCTTTTTGCTACCTACAAAAGTCTAGCTTTCAGAATGTCCTAAGATACAATGCTGACCGTGGGACCTTTTAGCCCTTTTAGCCACGACCCTCTTGAGGATTAAGCAGTGTATAGATAATGGATGGATGGAAGTAGTTATTATGAAAAGTATCTATTGGTAAAAATGCTTAGCACTGTCACCTCACAGCAAGAAAGTCCTGGGTTTGAATCTCACCTGGGGTTTTTCTGTCTCCTACAGGGGCGAAGGTGACATATAGAAAGCTCTGTTGCGGTTCTTATTTAAGCTTGAGAGTCATCTCTCCTTCAGTCTTGCAGACAACCTTTCTAACACTGATTGTCTTCACTGACGATTCATTCATGACAGCT